TAAGCACATATATGGTCTATGTGTATTTCGTTCATGTTTAGACTTGACGACCGTGTTGCTCTTGCAGATGTGTGTAAAGTGTGAGCTTGCAAAAGAGTGCGGTAGCAAGTTATCAGCACGAGCAATAAGCACATATATGGTCTATGTGTATTTCGTTCATGTTTAGACTTGACGACCGTGTTGCTCTTGCAGATGTGTGTAAAGTGTGAGCTTGCAAAAGAGTGCGGTAGCAAGTTATCAGCACGAGCAACTGATTGCACCCAGCTTATACAATAATATAGAAAAAGATGAGACTTGGTACCTAGGTTACCCGAACACTTCATCTAGGCTTCCATGTCCGTGTCCAATACATCTGTATCCATGTCGGACACTCCTTGGACACTTCTAGAATATATACATACATTTATTTAGGCATACACTCAATTAGATAACACAAGTTTTAGTTTAAAACACCAATCATACACTTCTTGAATGTACACCGCACACTCCACCTCAAATTTATGCAACTCATTGGACTTGGGACAGGTTCATCTTAGCACAAACATAATACATAAGTATGATTTTAAAGGTTCGTTCTGGGATCTAGTTCAAAACCAAGTAGTTTTTCAATTTATAATCTACTCAATAAAAGAAACATAAAACTGGTATAAGGATTTTAGTATTCATAACATGTGAATGAAAAACAATATCGATCTCATATAGATTATTATTTTTAATATGTAATGTACATAGCCATGTCCCTGTATCCTGACTTTTACTATTTTGACGTATCCTGTATCCACACCCGTGTCCATGTCCACGCCCGTACCTGCATCCATGCAACATAGCTTGGAACAGATCATCTCCTGCTTGACATTGGTAAAGTTCCTACAACCAACATGGTTGCAGTACAGCCTAGTTCTTACAAATCAGGAACATGGGAATTAAAGGCGAAACAAGTACTAGAAGAAATGAAGAGAATAGCTAAATGACTTAAATTTGTTGTTTCCTTTTGCCAAGAAAGAGAGACATAGCAACTGGGGTTTAAACACAAGTAAACCTTTCCTTGTTTTCCCTTTTTGTTTGTTAAGGTGCCAGTATAGATATAATAAAATAAAAAGTTAGAGATATGATTTCTTTTAGAAAATACCTTCAAACCACATTCTGACAAGGCTACCACACCAGTTATTTTGCAACGCTCCATGTTACTCATTGCAGGCTTATAAGATGTAGCTGAAGCACGATTAACATTCTGATTCTTCTTCACATCTCTGGTGGTGGGACCATCCTGTTCATGGATGATGCTGAATTAGAGGCAAGAGATTTTCTTATTAACAAGAATGTAACAATAGAGAGAGAAAAGGAGCACCATTTGCTAGTGTAGTTACTGGCAATATAGCATTCATGATAACTCTATAAGAAGGCATGATAAATACATGATACAGAATGAACCAAACAGGCATCTGAATTTAAAAGATCAAACAAAGTGAAACTTGTGATAAAAATTATACCAATTATGGTCAGTGACTCAGTACGAATTGAAACTTGATGCTTATCGATTAGGTGCTGATGCAAATGGAAGGTTTAGATAAACCATGAGATGCTTGTGGAGTAGTGTTTACCATGAGCTTTGTAACAAATATTAATCTGAGTATCTAAATGTTAGAGGGACAAAAAACTTAAATCATGGAAAGTAACGGTGAATGATATTACCAAAACCTAGCTTCGTAACAAATATTAAGCGAATATCTTCCCAGTACCTGCAGCTCCAGCCAATCAACTACCAGAAAGAAAAACCCCAGATTGGAACTAAGCACTTAATAAAATCCCTCATCTCCTCTATTCGGGATGATTTTTTGTCCTTTCTCATGTTAGATACATGGTTACATATATTGAACTTCACCTTTCAGTATTTCCTTGTAGAACTACGCTTGCTGCTACACTGTTTTGTTGTCCCCTTTCATGTTCTATGTAGAATTTACGCCATATGGCAACAAACATTTACTATAGGTCTTAACATCAATAACAATGCCCATGTTAGCAGTAGCAGTAACGTCAAATGCAAAACCAACAGAAGAATGGAAAAAAGCAGAGCCTTGAACAAGAGATAATCATTGCACCAACTACGTACGAAAAGACTGTTAAAAATGAGAATAAAAAGTCCTCACGACAATTTCACCTTCGCGTGTTACAATATGAGGAACATTAAGTAGAATGGTATGGAAATTACCCCTTGGTGTAGACCCTGAGTGGCAACTAGCATAACTTTGGAACCATTTACAATTTGCAACGACTTCAAACTCATAGCATCTGCGAGAACTTTCCCTGCGACATAAAACGGCAACTCGCGTCAACATTTTACAGATCCGACATCACTAGTTCAATGTATTGCACAGAACCACGATCAGACGCATTGACATCATTTAATTTTAAAAACATAAAATAAGATTTTGTTTAGGTCGTTCAAGATAATATTTCAGCATAACGGAGATATTATCTAATAAAAGCCCCTCGTTTTAAAATACACAACCAAATTAACCTTGCCTTGAAATTTTTACATCATTAATTTGGTATCAATAATTTCACTTAATTTTACGCAAAATATTCATAAATTCAAGCACGGAAGCACAAGCTAAAACCCTAACCCTAAGCGATTTCGGAGAGAAATGTCTTATGTCGCGAGAGAGGGGTTAGGGTGACCTTTGCAGATGAGCTTTTGGCCACGGGGGAGGACGTTGGTGAGAGGTTGAAGACGAGATTTGAGCTCTTTAATGGTGGAATCTGGGGAGATCGAGATCGGGAACTTCTGACCGCTGAATTGTACATTGACTGTGATCAGAGCGGGAGATTCTGTTTCAGTTGATTTGGCTCCTTCCTCCATTTTTTTTTTTCTTCTTCTTTCTTTTCCCCACTTGAAACTTTTATTGGATTGTTAATGGATCAGCAGTCGCTCTTTCTTCCTTCGACTGTGATCAGAGCGAATATCTCTCTTTTTTTTTTTGGGTTGTCTTTTCGGTTTTTTACCTCGAACTGGAGTTATTTATACGTGCATACCCTTTAAGGATATCTTATATTTGCAGATGTATCTTCTCTTTATTTAGGGTGCAAATGATTCATATATGGCAAAAATAGGATGATTATCATATTTATATCCGCTTACTAATCACTTATAATAAACAAATATCTCTTGATAAGAAGAACTCATAGCCATATCCGCTAAAATCTGATACGAATATTGATATACATGCAAAAAGATATATGGATATGCATGCAGATAAAAAACGTATATGAAAAAACCAGATTGTTATGGTGTTTATTCACCCAAGATACGGGTATTTGCAAAATGATACAATCATAATCATGTTAAACCGGCCACAACCAACTTAGTGGCCTAAACCCAAAAGAGGCCCTGACCCTGCCGACTCATCAAGTCGACATTCTTTCATGCCGACACGAAAGACGGGATCAGACGACTCTATCGTCGAAGACGAATCACCAAGGGTCCACTCGACCATTTACCTGGCAACTTACGAAGACGCCTTGATGAGCATTCCCTGCTGTCGACTAAGTTGGGGAATAACATCCGCCTCAAGCCTCTTCCCTTGAGTACATGTCAGCATCCAAATCCACCTCAGATAAGCCTTATCCTGATCCTAACCTAATGGTCTCCATGACTTGTCAGCTGCCCACGTGCCTTCTGTCACGCTCTCAATCACTTCCCGAAAAAATACGGAGACACTCTCTCCCATGCCGAAGTGATTTCCCCTCCAGTCGTCAGCCGACACCTGTAAAACAAGGGATGACTCAGCCTGCCAGCGTGTCTTCTATCACGCTCTCAATCATTTCCTGAAAAATGCGGAGACACACTCTCTCGTGCCTAAGTGACTTCACCTCCAATCGCCAACCGATACTGTAAAGCGGGGGATGACTCGGCTCTTAGCCCGCACATCACCACCGCCTCCCTAGGCTTGGCTAGGGGTGACCTATTTATCCCCATGACGGAGATATATACATGTAGACTCCTAACCTCAGAGGAGCAGGATCTAAGGTGGGTCCCCCCTCGCTCTCTCTCTCTCTTTCTCTCTTTCTCTCTAAAGAAAAAGAACACACAGTTCTTCATCTACACAGAGGAGCTCACAGAGACCCTCTGTAACGGCACATTGCCACCTCAAGAACCACCTCGGTTCCTGACCTTCCCCTTCCCCACTCGGGTTTCACTAACTTGACCGTCGGAGGAACCACCGAGGAACCGGTCCCCACCCTCTTACGGGTTCTTCTTGTTTGTGCAGCATGGACTTCATCCCCCATTCAAGAACCAGACATAAAGTCGGAGAACGAAGCAGCTCCTTCATCAATCTCCTCTATCTCGTCCCAGCAAGGGCCCAGGAAGAACCGATCCAGTTTCGAATCAGAACTGATCTCAGTCTGGATTCGATTGATTGTTTGATCTCGACCATCAACACAGATAACATTGAAAAAAATATTATACATGTGATATAAGAGCGATCACTAATATGTTTGTTATACTTGAAAATCTAAGATTAGATCTCTTGATCATCAAAGCTACCCATAACTTCATTTATCTAAGGATTAAATGAATGCAATGTATGGCCAACATATATTTGAATATTTCAAAAACATCCGGATATTTCATGATGTATCCATATTTATAAGCATATTTTATCGAATATAGATATTTAATAACCATATATTCTTATCATATTTGCATTCCTAGATAAGGTTTTTTCAGTTATAGGTCCCTCAAATCTTGAATAATTTGATGTTAGTCCCTAATTGTTGTGCGCGGCGGAAGCTTCGAGGAGCGACACGAACAATCCAATAGATAAACCACAACCAATAAGCAAATCACAACTACAGCAAGAACAAACGATTTACGTGGTTCGGCAAGTTGCATACGTCCACGAGGCAAGGAGGGGGGAGTTCTTACTATTAGAAATTAAGAGAATACAAATAGAGTTACAAATCTCACCGATCAAACCCTAAAACAAAGCTCTAGATCTCTCACAAATATCCCACAATTGGATGCAACAATCTTCTCTCAAAGACTGCTCAAAATCGTCCTTGCTTAACCCTAATTAATCAGGTTTAGGGTTATATATCAACTCAGAAGCGAACCGGGTCAAAATCCAAAGCCCAGCCCAAAAACAGTCTACGGTCGACCACACGAAGCTCGCGGTCGACCGAACATCCCCGACAGAGAACCAAATCCTACAGTCAAACTCGCGGTCGACCGTGGCGGTCGACCGAACTAATTTCCCGAGAGATAATCGCCTACAGGTC